AAATTAAAAGTATGAAATACATTTAATAATATTACTGTAATTTCATAAAAATTAATTTTTTTTTTCTAGTATGTTTTAATGATCAAGTTACACATGTTAAATTCTATACTTTCTTATATGAATTTATTCTTGATTATTAACATTTTTATAAAAAAAAATCTTGGTATCTTGACTGTTTCACAGGTTTTAAGTGTCTTGAGCTTACACCATAAGTGATGAAGTGCTTAATACGTAACAAAGAGTGAAATTGCATGGTTAGATGTTAACAGGAAGTCTACAATGAAAGTAATGGTGGTTCTCTAGTAGGTGAATGGACAGTGAGCCTATCTACTAGAAGTGTGCCTGTTAATAATTGAGTTGGTAAATGCAGAAGGTTCCTTGGAAGTTTTCAAAGACTTGCTTCCTGCCTTTAGTTTTTCAGTAATAAAATTCATGTTGAAATAAGTTGTTCAAAGTTGCTTCAGTTTGCCGACGTGCCTTCCATTTGAATACATACAATAAGTTGTTTGTCAAATTAGTAATTTGTGATATTACAAAATCTTGTGTTTATCATCTCTAATTTCATTATGAGGTAATTTGATTTTTTTAAATTTCTTTGCTTTTAATTTTTTCACTTGAATTTTATTTTGCATATGACAGTATTCTTGCACCATTTAATTACCATATGTTGTTCCATTCTCCCTGTGTTGATAATGTCTAGAATATATTGAACAATATCCCATAACATTTTGAATGAGTCTGATTTATATAATTGAAGTTGGAATATAGGTGTATATATATATATATATATATATATATATATATATATATATATATAGTAGGATTCCAAAACCAGAAAAAGAATTGTTACTGAAAATATAAATTAATAAGACTGAAAAAATAGTTACCTAACATGTTTGTTTTTGTTCTTTTTCTTATATGATTATGTGCAAAACCTTTCTTTCTCTTAACCATTGATCTTATATTCCTTAAATCCTTAATTGTTTTTGACAATTTTACTTTTGTGTCGGAATGCCATTTATAAAAAAAAAAAACAAAAAAAAACTTGGATGCTTTTTTTGCTCTTTATGCAAAATAATTTATAATGCAAACACTTCTAGATTTTTAGAGTTTTTGTTCAATTTTTATAAACAGCATTTTTGCTACACATGTAAGTCTTTTGGTATTTTGAATTGGTCTTCTCTTTGTAGCTAAAATATACATGTTCAATTTCATTCAATATACTTGCACCATTTAATCACCATATTTTTATATATTTAAATTTATATGCACATTTATTTACATGGTTAGTAACATGTAGATTGACAGAACAACTCCATCAAAAACTGATTCTATTCCAGTTTATAAAATAAGTCCTTTCAATCTGACAAAAATGCATTCTCAGTCTTTTCTCATTTATATATATATATATATATATATATATATATATATATATATTTAAGATTTATCTATAGCTATAAAGTAATTCTCAAGTCTATACTGTTTAGTATTCAGCAATTGTTAAAAGGGGATTTAAGTAATAAGAGACAGTTACTATGATCAGAGCATAGTCATTTATAGTAGAACTTATTTTTTAATGCAGATATTAAGTGTCCTTGGATAGGTAAAGGAAAATACCAACTATGATTACAAGAATTAAAGATTCTGATATAAATTGACATTATTCACTACAACTAGTAAGTTTCTGTGTTGACAATTTGATTGTAAATTCCATTAACAGATAAGCATGCTCAAGAAACTTGAAATTTTTAAACTTCATCTTACATTTTAAAATTTCAGTTTGTCTAAATTCTACATTTTTAATAGGTGATTCTATTTTCTTTTCTTTTTTTTCTCTTTTTGTCATCATAAAAAAAATATTGAATTAAAGCTTCAAACTTGTTTAAATACACAAGTATTTTTTATTATAAGTCTTGTTTTCTTTCAATTAAAACTTCCAAGATATTTAAATTGCTGTAATGGGGTATGAAAATGATTAAAGAGGGCTATTATTTAATGCTGTACTGATCAGTAAAAAAAAAAAAAACTCAGTATGAAATTTAGTACTTGTGAAAATTCACAAGAAATTGGTTCTTATAGTATAAGAACCAATATAATAAGAAAATATTTAGCTTTCACTCTTCATTTGATATATTTCTCTATACAAAAGTTTGTTTTTTTTATGCTCAATATTAAACTGATTTTTAAACTGTTTGCAATTTACATCAATTAGTTTAGATTTAATCTTTAAATTAAACTTCTTAAAATAAGTTTAACATTCTAAACTTAGTAAAACTTTTTGCATGTGTGAAAAATAAACAACCTGAAATAACGTAACTACTGTAGTTACATGTGATTAAAAATTACATATATCACTCATTTAAAGTTAAATTTAGATATCGAACAGTGTAAGGTTTTAAAAAAAATTTCTTTATTAAAGGTTTGACTTTTAATTTCACTTTTTATTGCAGTTGATATTATCTAATTAAATCATAATTAAAACTTGGGCAGGGTACATTGCTCATATGGTTTCCTTTTTCTTTTCTTTTTTCTAGCATGTGTACTGTGGTATATTCTAAATATTATATAGTTTGGGTTCCATAACATCTTTTAAGAGTGACTTTGTGTAGGGAGCATAATGGATGGTGATCTTTTTAAAATAAAATAAAAATTGAATGCAAAACAAATGTAAACAAACTACTGAGATCAGTTGTGTATATGAAGAAAGGTTATGCCGAATTAAGGTGTTGAATAAAAATAAAATAATTTTATTTCTAAATTCTTATAACTTACAAAGGATGCTGAAGGTAAAAGGCCAAAAGCCCTCTGCAGGAACTAGCCTAAAGGGCATCTAGGCTAGTAATTAAAATAAATATGAATGTGAAGTGTTATGCACTTTGTGAGATTGCTGAAGTTCTTGAATTGACTAAAAAGTCTCTGTGCTAAAAAAAAAAGTTTTTAAAAGAATTGACCCAGGAGCTGTTCCATCCATCCATCCATCAATCAATCAATTAATTTGTGTATTCAGTGTACTTTTTACATCTTAATGATAAGGCTTCTTTACAGATCTCTCATCGTTAACTGGAAGTAGTTACATTTTGAAAATGTCAAGCAAAAATCCTTGAAGTTATTCACATGATCAGGATTCCAATCTGCAGATGTTATCTCTGTAACTGAAAATCCATTGGATAAGTCAAATAAAGAGCTTGAACTAAAATCATATTTACCATAGTCCGGTAATGTCATTTAAAAAAAATGTAAACCAATAAGTTTAAATATAAAAATCTAATGAAATCTAGATTAATACTTCATTTTTGTTTATTTTTTGGTGGGTAAGATTACCTGAGCTCTTCTATAAATACCTATCAATAGAAAATTTAAGAGTATTTTTTTTTTTTTTTTTTTCAAATGTTTAAATTGTAGGCAATTTTATTGTCTGAAAATCCAGCTCTCTATTAACCTGAATACTTGAAAGGACACTACATGTGGCATTATCATGTTTGTGACCTTTGAATAGCAAGAGAAACCAGTTTTAGTTGTTTACAAGATAAGAACCAGGAAAATTTATCTACAAAGTTGACAAGGCAAGTCACCTAATAACTTGCACTTTGAGCAAAGCTTTTTCTAGCCTTAAGATTATTCATCCCACTTTGTAAAGTAGTGAAAGGTTGATTAATGATTTCTTTTTTCCTGGAATTGTCAATTTTATAATTAAAATAAGGCTATTTAGTCTTCATGCTTATTATTTAATTATATCTGGCTTTAAAGATAAATGACATTGTTAAAACACTTATATTTAGGGATAAAAAAAATGGCATAAGGAAAGATATTAATGAATTTGGTGACTTTCTAATTAAAAATGATTAACTTTCTTACAATTATTGTACAGATATGGCTATTTAAAAAAAATGTATAATTTTTATTCCCAAACTTAAAAACATTTTTTTTTTTTATAGATTGTATGCTGATATTTAATGTTTTATGGTATTATTCAAATTACTTTATTGAAAACAATTTGGGCCTATATCCAGTCTTTTCGCTCACTTTCACTCTCTGTAACCCCCTATGTACTAGTGGCATTCCCTCCTTGCTTGGGGGGGAACTGATTAAAAAAAAAAAAAATTTTTAAATATTTTTAAATGTTGATAATTTCAGACAGTCTCTACATTTAGAATGTTAATTTTTAATGCATTTACACATGCAACTCTTCTGTTAAAGTTATGTACTTGAAAAATAATTTGATATTTTCAAATTTTTTATTATATAAAAATCTTAGTTCTATTCCATATTTCATCAAATAGACTTAGCTTTCAACAGGTTTGGATGTATAAGAAAATGTACATGGCATATCTTGCTTTAAATGTTATTTTCAGTGGATACCCGTATTTGATTTGAAATAGAGGCTCTGTTTTTTTTTGTTTTGTTTTTTTAAGTGCTTTCCAACAAGGTTTGAACCTGCATCCCCCTTTGTAGGAGAAACCCATGTTTAAAATAGATGCCCCCCTTTTTTTTTTCTTTTTTTTTTTTAACTGTGTATTACCTCTATCAGCCTGTGCACTCAGTAAATATTAAAGAAAATGTGCTCTCTGACAGGATTCAAACCTGTCTCTTATTGTAGGAGAAACTAACATTTGATCCAGCAAGGTTTTTATATATACACACACACTATTGTATTCTAATTTGACTATCTTAAGCAACTCTATTGTTAATGTCAATGAGGCTTAACTAAAGAGAAAATTTAAAAAAAAAATAAATGTAAAATTAAATGGATTTATTAAATAAATTATAAGGTATTCAAGGATTCTACCATTTCTATTAGTTTTATCACATTGAAATGCCTTTATTTGTTAGCTGCAAAAACAAAAAAAAATGTAAGCAACCTGAGAACTGATCAAAATCCTAAACAACTCTATAAAACTAAAAAAAAAAAGTGTATAACACTTTAAAAATAAATACTTGGAAAAGTTCGTCAATTTTTTCTCACTTGTCTCCCTTTTTTTTCTTTTTTTTTTTTCTTTCAGCAAAATGTCGAGCCGTAAAGCTAAAGGAAAGACAACAAAAAAGAGGGCACAACGTGCTACCTCAAATGTGTTTGCTATGTTTGATCAAGCACAAATTCAGGAATTCAAAGAAGCATTTAATATGATAGATCAAACTAAGGATGGACTTATTGATAAAGAAGACTTGCACGAGATGCTCGGTTCCTTAGGTAAGTGATTGACAACCAACTGTTTCATTCTTTAAATCTTTGGAAAAAATTATCAATGTTTTGTTTTATTGTGGAAAACATTGACAATCATTCTGTTTATATTCCCATTACTTTCTAAATGTTTTTACTACACTCTGAAAGTTATTATTACATTATAGTTGATAGAAATTCTTGCAAGATTGCCTGCTATGTTTGTGTGTGTAGGATGACAATGGTTCCATCATAAAAAAGGAATTTGTTAAAATTTGAATTATGGTTCAAATTCCTTGTGTCCACTTTTAACTTGAGGAAAGTTATGAATTAATCTTTATTTCTGTTCTGTCACATGTTACAATGGTTGACAGATTGGAGGAGTTAAACTTTGAACAAACAATTCTATAACTACCTTACTTGGCAGTGGTACTTACTGTCATTCAGCCTTGATAGAAGTGTGTGTGTATTTATGCAGCAAATTCTCTTTTAGGCATGTCTGGTAAAATAAATTATAAACATTGTCTGCTTATTTTTAGCATAATCCTTTCATATTCAGGAATATTTTCCGTGTATTACAATTGAATGAGGCAAGAAATGCACTGTAACAGTGAGAATCACTTTTATTTCCCATCTCGGAAAGAGATGGAAAGTATTTGGGGTGGGGACCTGACAATCTTGGAAAAGATGGAAAGTACTTGGGGAAATAAGTGATTTTTCAGTTACTGTGCACTTGCCTCATTTGATTATAATGCACAGAAAAAATATTTGTGAATATGAAAGGATTATGCTAAAATAAGTAGACATAATGTTTGTAATTTATTTAATCAGACATGTTTATTTATATATATATATATATATATATATATATATATATATATATAGTATTGAGATCAATACAATGGTGACCGTCTTTCATGCCTAAACACTAACTTTAGCCTAGTCCATGTGTTGGGTGGTAGCTCAACTACTTATATTTGCTGGCCCATGAAGCATTATGGGTAGCAAGGTCAGTTATCTTTTAGTTATGTTATTCTAAGTTATTGGATAGGTGGGAATGGTTTTATTTTAAATAACTCTATGCAGTTATTTTTTTTTTTTTTTTTTTTTTACTTATTGTGTAGGGTTGTTAACCTTAACTTTTTTTTTTTTTTTAACTTTGGCTATTAAATGACCATTATACTCACAAACCAGAAATAACTGACCTTGCTACTCATAATGCTCTGTTGTCTATTATATATAGTCAAGCTAGCACCCAGCACACATGGCATGAATCTAGCATTCAAGACTGAAACTCACAAATCTGACATCAGTGTCCGCTCTTATATTTACATGTCCTTTATCTTGGATATTGAGCATTTTTATCCATAAATATAGCATACCTTAAAACTGTGTGCATTCATTTCAATATATGTAGCTTAACACAGTTATTAGTTGAATTTTTATATTTCTTTTCTCTATCTAATCCTTGATCTATGGCTATTATTGAATTGATAGCAAAGATTGAAAATCTTTTAAAATAAATTCATTTTTTTTTTTATTAGGTTGTATACTTGCATAGTTTTATTTTCTAGCTTTTTAACTGTCCTTGTTAATGTCAACTCAGTATTTCCCAAATCAATCTATTCACCATTAAACTATGAAAAAATATGTAAATTTATTTATCTAATAGTTGAATGATTGAAACTCAATATTACATAATCTTTTGTGATTCTATATCAGTTACTATTTAACCTGATTTACAAATGAAGTCATTCAAATGTATGATATAACAGTTCATCCACTTAACCTCAACTATCCAATATGATTCATAAGCTTCAATGACCTTTCATTCTCAGAAGTAGTCTCTTCATATTTCACTGCCCAGCAAATAATTAACTTTCTAACCCCTTAAAATGAGTATCTAAAGTTAATGAAACCTTGCATTATGTTATTCATAAGTCTTGAAAAGTATTTAAAACTTGAAATTCTATTATTTATGGCCAAGTAATGCTATTGAACAAGGAAATTCATTTTTATTTTTAATGGCTAAAAAGCCATTTTTGAGGACATTCTCTTGTATGCCTGAGGATGAATTGCAGCCATACCCAATTTTTATGCACAATAAAGTCATTAATAGAATTTGAATTGATTTGTCCATGTTGCATTTTTGTTTTCCTGTCCTGACTGATTTTCATCAGAAAACTAATCACTGAATGAAATTGAAACCCTGTCAATTCAACATTGTGGTTTGTTGTCACCTGTTTGGGAATTGCACTAATTTCTGCCCTTTCCCTTTAAAAGTCAGTTTTTCGGCAATATAGAGAATGGGATTAATGAACAATTCTGGCTGGAACAGTTTGCATTTAATTTACACTCATGTCTTTGGGAAAGGCATGAATCCACTTCTCCCTCTAGTCAAGGTTAAAGTAGAACAATTGGAGCATTTTAGTCCAGGAATGCAGTCCTTCTTGAGTTTGGGTGAGCATCCAAGGTTCTATAAAAATTCACTTGCTACTTGAATTCACAATATTATGGCCATCCGAAACACCATAAGTTCATAAGAATAAAAAATTTAAAAAAATGGCTTAATATTAGAATAATCTCATTTTAATTATGAAACCATTAAATGAAATACTTGAAACTTGTTGAATGAAAATAAAGCAAACTTCTCTTCCAGTTTAATTCATTTAATTAATGCATTGTGGTGTAATAGATATCGGTCAGAATAGGAAATCAGAGAGCCAGGTTTGGATTACAGTTGGTTTTGTTGCATTCACTTATAAATCTCTTTTCCCAGCTATGGGTCAAATAGCAGGACAGACTGGGTCCTATAGCCTTGAGTGGCACCAAGTTTACCTCAGAGAGAAACTGCAACCTACTGTGGAAAAATCTCTGCCTAGTCGGTCATAAATCAAGAGACATTATCGGTTTTTGTGCGAAACCATCTCGTGCTGATATCATCGGTTTTTGTGCGAAACCATCTCGTGCTGATATCATCGGTTTTTGTGCGAAACCATCTCGTGCTGATATCATCGGTTTTTTGCGAAACCATCTCGTGCTGATATCAACGGTTTTTATGCGAAACCATCTCGTGCTGATATCATCGGTTTTTGTGCGAAACCATCTCGTGCTGATATCGCCGGTTTTTGTGCGAAACCATCTCGTGCTGATATCATCGGTTTTTGTGCGAAACCATCTCGTTGCTGATATCGCCGGTTTTTGTGCGAAACCATCTCGTGCTGATATCATCGGTTTTGTGCGAAACCATCTCGTGCTGATATCATCGGTTTTTGTGCGAAACCATCTCGTGCTGATATCATCGGTTTTTGTGCGAACCATCTCGTGCTGATATCATCGGTTTTTAAAGAAACCATCTCGCGGTTGATATCATCGGTTTTATGCGCGAAACCATCTCGTGCTGATATCATCGGTTTTGTGCGAAACCATCTCGTGCTGATATCATCGGTTTTTATGCGAAACCATCTCGCGTGCTGATATCATCGGTTTTTATGCGAAACCATCTCGTGCTGATATCATCGGTTTTTGTGCGAAACCATCTCGTGCTGATATCATCGGTTTTTGTGCGAAACCATCTCGTGCTGATATCATCGGTTTTTGTGCGAAACCATCTCGTGCTGATATCATCGGTTTTTGTGCGAAACCATCTCGTGCTGATATCATCGGTTTTTGTGCGAAACCATCTCGTGCTGATATCATCGGTTTTGTGCGAAACCATCTCGTGCTGATATCGCCGGTTTTTAAAGCGAAACCATCTCGTGCTGATATCATCGGTTTTTGTGCGAAACCATCTCGTGCTGATATCATCGGTTTTTGTGCGAAACCATCTCGTGCTGATATCATCGGTTTTTGTGCGAAACCATCTCGTGCTGATATCATCTATTTTCTCTGCCAAGACTGTTCTCCATCCTTCATATGCAGCCAGTCTCAGGAGAAGAAAACTCAATTTCAACTAGATGAGGCAACAGGAAACCAGTCTCATATTTACCAAAAGTTTATGGCAGTTTACACATCTTAAAGTAAGACTCTATGGAGAGCCATGATAGGCTATGAAAAAAAGTTATATATTAAAAATTTGTATTGAGTAGCTGCCACTGGGTTTCTGACTTAGATAAATACAAAGATGTGCTAAAATGTTTTTGGACTGGCCCAACATCAAACCCAATGCTCAAGCATGTTTGGACCAAGAACTTTTCAGTACTACCATCATATTAAATTTAAGACCATTACCAGTGTTGTAAAGGTTTTGAATTTTTTCCCTTTCTCTAAACTATATACAGTACAGTATATAAATGTTATGCAAGCAATTTTTATATACTTTCTCTACAAGGTAAAGATAGGAACGGGGATATATCCTTGTCAACTTGAGTGGTTTTTACAATAAAATTGAATAATTGTAATTTCTACTTTTGCTATTGGAAAATGAAATCATTCAGTATGTACAGATGTCAATGTGTTGAATTGTTTGTTTTTTTGTAGTCTCAAATCTTTTACTGAAATAGTTGTCCTTTTATTTAAATAAAACCTTAATTACATAAGCATGAATGGAATTCATTTTCAATGTAAAAATGAATTCTTTTACAGCCTCCTTGTCATTTTTGTTTTTTTTCTGGTATATTGCATTACTGGCTTAAGCTAATAACTTCTTTGCACATTTTAATAATTAATAACTTATTTTTAAATTGGTTCTATATCTTGGCATTTTGAAATTGCTGAATAGAAAATTCCAGATTTTGAAATGTTAGCTTTGGATATTGCATGTTTTGAAAAGGATGTTTGAATTATTATCAGACCTTTTGTTAAAAGTATCTGTTCAGAGCAGGCTTAAAAAAATAAGAAGGAATATTTAAAGGAAGTGTGTGTGTGTATTTTTTTTTTTTTTTTTTTTAACACTATTACCAGCAAATACATGTGTGACCCTTTGGTGATGGAGTGTTTGCTTTTATAATCTCTAGTGTGATGTTAGGAAGGTGACATGAATGAGAATCATGTGATTGAATTAATAACAAGTTGGCATGTTTGTAGATGAA